ACAAAACGCAGAATTTTTTATTTTAACATGATTTTGATCAACCAATCAGCGGGTCAGTGGTTTGATTCCACCTCCTGCATGTCAAAGGATACCTGACCCCAAATTACCCCTGGAGACATGTCTATGTTTTTTATATTTGTAAGTGGTTTTGGATAACACATCAGCTAAATAACATGTTCTAATAATGCATTGATTCCAACACCATGGGAGACCGCTACACAAACATTACATCATTCTTATTTATTTAAGTTTACACGTTTTAAATAGCTGAATGGTGAACAATCACAAAAACTGTCACTATGACTTAAAATTTGGGCTTTGCACGTCAGTTACAATATGTTCCATTTGAAAATGTGGAGTTCTCAAGAGGATATAGAACAATATTTTTAAAGAAATGCAATAGGCCTAAGAGACAAGACTAGCAGGCTTAGCATTTTGTTCGGCTGAGAATGTTGTCTCAGATCATGCATCGTCCTCTGTCTTCTGTCCTTTCCCACGGAGCCGATTTCAGTTTTTTGTCCATCTTGGAAAATCTAGAAGTCTCCCGCTGTGTGCACAGGTAGCTTGGGCTCACTTTAGGATGACATACCTGAGCTTTCATATGCTGTATAAATCATCATTGTTAGGCTGTTAAATGTAAAAATGCAGATGCTGCACCTTCAGTGAGTTTCTCTTTCTAATTTCCCCACTGACCATCCTGGTGAAATTAGACACTTTCAAATAAAGTCGCAAGAGGGCTGGAATCAAATGGAAAACATGTTTCCCCGAATAAACAACACCATAAATTCACATTTCTCTTTACAGCAAACTTGTGGATTTGTATAGACAATCTATTTGTATCTTTAAATGCCGTCTTGTAGCACACTTTAAAGCAAAGAAGGGCAACCAGGGTAGAGGAGGAGGATGTGTGAAATAGAACTGTGTACAGTGTGTGTGTGTGTGTGTGTGTGTGTGTGTGTGTGTGTGTGTGTGTGTGTGTGTGTGTGTGTGTGTGTGTACCTGTCTCAGTGTGTGTGTGTGTGTGTGTGTGTAACTGTCTCAG